GTGAAGCCAGAACACTATAAATGGGCAATGGAGGTGTTCGGTGGAAGTGAGGGCAAAATAACAAAGGACGGCCAAAGACACCTAGGTGCAGTAATCAGCACGACGAACTTCAAGACCGAGTACGTAACGGTAAAGGTAAATGAGTGGGTTAGGGAAATCCAAGCTCTCTCTGATATTGCTAACACAGAGCCACATGCAGCCTTTGCGGCAGTCACTCATGGAGTCAAGCATCGCTGGAACTACCTGATGCGCACTATTGGACCCCTCCTCCGCCCGCTGGAAGAAGCCACCAGCGTCAATTTTATTAAAAAATTTGTGAAACATCTTCACTTAACCCCAGCAGAAAGGTCAATCCTTGCACTACCACCAAGACTGGGAGGAATGGCATTGACCAATCCAGAGGAGATTGCAGCCACGGAACGTCAGAACTCAGTTAAGCTCACGGCAGCCCTCACTGAGCACATAATAGCTCAGAATGTAACAGGTGAGGTAGATACCAAGGAATTAAACAAGATTCGACGGTCCATTACGAAGGGTTGCAAAAAATCATGATTTTTTTTTTAAATAAAAAAAATTCGATTTATTTGATTTACCGTATATACTTGTGTATAGTTCAAGTTTTTAAGACCAAATTTTTAGGCAAAAAATTGGGGGTCGTCCTATACATGCATAATAGTTTTGTTAGGTTGAACCCGTGCATGATGGGAAGGGCGAGGAGCAACTTTTAGCTTCAGACATGAAAAATATTTACCATTTACTGCCAGTAAACAATGGAAACGTAAAATATGTACCAATTAGTAATGAAAAGTTTTGCAGTTCCTTCAGTAAATGAAGCTCACCAACTTACAATAGGCTAAATTACCTTACAACGTGCTTTCAGTAGTCTATGTTGAAGTTCTTAGCACAGGCTAACTTATCATATCATATACGGTATCACAGTTCTCATTGATCTACAAAAAATACCGGTATTAAAAACCTTTTCGATATTTCACACTTAATATAATACCCGGTAATCTACTTCAACCTCCTATTGTTTACAACGACGCATGACTCACCACCAGCTGTATCAGCTAGACGGTACACGTGTTTTTCGAATCGTTTTCAGTTAAAAACTGTTACATCACACGTATATTTTACCTAAACTGCGCCTGAATGAATATATTCTCGGAAATAAATAGTGGTTTTGCTGAAAAGTGATGTATTTTAATGTAAAATAGGATAAAATACATGAAGACAAAAGATTTTACCTAACCTTCCGATGTTCAAGAGAAGTTACTCGTTTTTTTAATAGTTTTTGGTTAAAATATTGTTATATTACAATGGTATTCTATTCATACTGTGCTTGATATAATGCATTCACGGATATGTAATATTTTTGCTGAAATGACGTACGTATTACAGTGGAAAAAGGGATAAAATCGTGACGAAAGCAATGACTTTCGCTTTCTTTCGTTCAAAAGATGTTACCATAATCGCTTTTCGAATGGTTTTCGGTTAAAAAACTGTTGTATTATGATAATATTCTATCCTAATTGACTTGAATAAATACTACGATACCATATTTCTGAATATTTTCATTAAAATCCATCAAAATCATTTTCCTTGTCATCGCCTGCAGCACCAAACAGCTTCTCCCAGTCCTCTCCTTGAACAGGGCTACAGGGTACGTGTTTTTCGAATCGTTTTCAGTTAAAAAACTATTACATCACACGTATATTTTACCTAAACTGCGCCTGAATGAATATATTCTCGGAAATAAATAGTAGTTTTGCTGAAACGTGATGTATTTCAATGTAAAATAGGATAAAATACATGACGAAAACAAAAGACTTTACCTAAGCTTCTGTTCTTGAGATGTTACTCTTTTTTTAATAGTTTTCGGTTAAAATTCTGTTATATTACAATGATATTCTATTCATACTGCGCTTGATATAATACATTCACGGAAATGTAATATTTTTGCTGAAATTACGTGCGTATTACAATGGAGAGTGGGATAAAATCGTGACGAAAGCAATGACTTTCGCTTTCTTTCGTTCAAAAGATGTTACCGTAATCGCTTTTCGAATGGTTTTGTTAAAAAACTGTTGTATTACAATAATATTCCCTCCTAATTGACTTGAATAAATACTTCAATGGAAATATACAATATTTTTGTTGAAACTACCCGCGTTTCAGTGTAAAGTGTCGCAATAATAAATGGTAAACAATTTGCCTTCGGCACTCATGTTTCATGCACGGCGAGCCTCAGTTTATAGGACGTAGAGCGTTTTTAGTGAAGGTTTTGTTGTTCCATTACCCTCAAAAACATGGGTCGAACTATAAACGAGGAATATCGTAAATTAACGATTTCTTGGTCAAAAAATCAGGGTCGACCTATAAACGAGGGGGGGTTATAGACGAGTATATACGGTAAATCGGATTTTTTTTTATTTAAATCGATTTTTTTTACTAATTGCATTAAAATAGCATTTTTAAACCATAAAAACAGTATTTTTCAACCAAAGCTTATTCAGGATAATAAACAGAAAATTGGCATTAAGATATTTATGCAGTAGATGTACCAATGGAATTTAACACAATAATATTCTTTTTGTAAAATAAAAGAAAACTGGTAACATATCTTATATTTGAGTGCACAAATCAAAAAGTAATAATGAAACTTAACATAAATGCTCTTATAGGATTACAGTGTTTCAAAAATTAATAACTTAACTTCTTCAAATCAACAGAATAATATTCTCATTTTGTAAAAAAAATAATACTTACATTTGTAGGATAACAGTGTATTAAAAATTACTGGTAATAACTTCAAATCAACACAATATTCTCATTCTGTACACAACAAAAATAGTTCAAAACATTTAAATTAATTTAGTTGAACATTGAAATGCTTATGTACTGTGACAAGCTTAGATGCCTTTTCTTGTCCTAGGCGATTTCTTACCTTTGAGTGTAGAAATCCATATGTGGAAAAAATTCTCTCAACCCCTGCTGATGATGCAACAGCTGTAAATAATTGCCTAGGAACATCCATTACATTTTCTGTCATATCATTGGCAAAATACTGCCACCAAGCAAGGGGTGAGAGAGATTTTACAACATCTTTACCAAAATGGACCTCTTTAAATGGTGCACTTCTTCCATGGAAGGACATTAATGTTGAAAAGAAATGTGGAAGAGACTCGCACACATACTGTTCTGCAATGTCTCGCTGCTCAGGAGTCAGATGTCTGCCCTGATACCTTGGATCTATCACATTAGCTAGAAAATGGGCAGGTGTCAATGCTACCTTGATTCTTTTTTTCAAAATTTTCCATATCCTTCTTATCTGTTAAATACTCCTTAATATCAGTTTTCAGTTTTACCCAGATTTCTACAGCATCACTTAATAGGGTATGTTCTCTCTGGACACAGTCCAATGCCACAGCAATAGGCTTAAGTCTCTCTAAATAGTCTTCTGCAGTTTTTTTTAATGCCTTATCATTAACTTTCCTTTCAATTTTCTTATCAATGTCTTCACTATTTTCTTTGCACACTTTGATAAGGGTCTCCCAGTTCTTTAAATAAGATTCAATAGAATGACTTTTCAATCATGTAGAATAAAAAGAGAAAACGGTTATTAGTAAAAAAATCATTTTGATTTAAATCATGATTTTTTTACTCTGATTTAAATCGATTTAAATCATGTGATTTAAATCATTTGATTTAAATCATAACAACCCTGCCATTACGACAGATCGGCAGCACACCCAAAGTGATAAACTGCAGCAACTGATGCTGCAAGTACCAGAAAACTTGAAGGAAAAAAAAAAGTAACTATACCACAGTAGGTGGGCTAACTAAATTACTGAAAGGGGCAAAAGGTTTCAGTCTTAATAAACACGAATTTAAAGATGCCATTGCTCGAAAGTACGGTTGGCCAGTAGAAGGTTTGTCCTCCCAATGAGTTTATGACTCATCCTACGACATCGACCACGCCATGGTGTGTAAGAAAGGGGGCTTCGTATGCATGAGGCATGACAAAGTAAGGGATCTAACAGCAAATCTAATGAAGGAAATCTGCCACGACGTCATGGTGGAACCGCCCCTTCTTCCATTGGAAGGTGAGAACCTCCGTCACAAGACTTCAAACACATCTAACAAAGCCCGTGTGGACGTCAGTGCTCAAAGTTTCTGGACGCGGGGACAGCGAGCCTTCTTTGATGTCAGGATATTCGACCCCATGGCCGCATGTCACCGTAAATTGTCTCTTGAGGCTGCACACAAGAGTAACGAGAACGACAAGATTTGGGCATAAGTGGAGAGAAATCAGAATGTAGATCAATGCAGCTTCACTCTTCGGTGTTCACAACCTCTGGTGGGATGGGACCAAGTGCAAGATGCTTCTACGCAAGACTGGCAGAGGTCTTGTCTGAGCAGAAGCAGCAGCCGAGAAGTTATGTTACAGCCTGGTTGAGATGTAGACAGTCCTTCTCCCTGCTTAGGTCTGCTTTGCTCTGCCTCAGGGGAACGAGAGAATCGGCCCAAAAGCCGACAACGGTCACTGAATGCTGCATAAATCTATGGCTTAACTAACGCAACACAGCTAGGATAGCTATATTTGTATTAGGATATTTAACCTTAAGGTAATAAAATGGCAGTGAAGGTGTGGCTGTTGTGGTAGGCTGGAGGCCACGTTTTAAAAAAAGTGGTGGTGGTGGTTGTTCACAGACCTTCATAAAAGACCAGAATAAATAATGAGTGTATAATGGGACTAAAATTACTGTACAATACTAGGATAAAGAATATTTTACTGTATACCGAGACACCGAATTTGGAATGTTCATTGTGTATGAACAAACCTATCAACTAATAATGATATACTGTATGTAATAAAAAAAGAAAAAAAGAATGGGAGTTATATTATTATCAATTCAGCATTAAAGACACTTAAGCTACTGGCCAACTCTTACAGGTAACATTGTTTTGTGGGTAAAGGAAAATGTCTGGTAACTCACCTGGATGAATCTGAAGTTTCCCCACAAGAAGGTGTACAATGCCAAGACATGTTGGATTTCCCGCAGCTGCCAAGTCCCAACCTGAAAAATTACCAAGAGTATCTATTGTAGTGATCTACTAATGGTTTATGTGGGCACCAATCTATTATGGGGGTACTGTACCAATATTATGTGGGTACCAGCTTATTATAAAGGTACCAACCTATTAGACCGTGGGGCAACAATAATCCCCCCTCCCCCATTTGCCTATTTTGCTAATTACATTTTTTCTTTATAAGCATATGCAAATAGAGTTCCACTTGTTAACACCACTAAAAGTGGTGGAGGAAGTCACAGGAGCGGGTTTAAAAAGGCTAGCTACAAAAATCTAAAAAATTGAAAAAATTATGAAGCAATCTCACATTCCCAGAAATAATTCGTGCCCTACATTATTTTTTTGTTTTTAATTTACCTTCAGCAAGTCATTTATGCAATGAAATATGAGTTTCAGGAAAAATATTTATTATCAAAATGGCAGCCATGCAGCAGGAGCATAGAGAAGATCAATCACTCATGAAACTACTGTAAATTAATATTTCTGAATACAGCTACTCTCCTACTTACGACCTACTCGACCTACGACCTGCCTCAGTAGGTACGACCACCTGCACAAACGACCGCTGCATTCGGTACCAAAATTTTTTCAAATGACGCGCGTATTTTCTATACCGAAAAGTTTCCGTCCAGTATGAGAGCGTCGCGTGGGGTGGGTCACCGAGTGGGTACAGCACCCACGCAGTAGAGCGCTTAGTTGGTGTTTGGCTGTCGGCGTATCAACAACTGATCGCGCTGTGTACTGACATTATTTTCCTATCTAATTCACTTTAGAATGACTAGAAAGTGTAGAAGTGAGAGTGCTAGTGGAGCTCAGAAGAAAAGAAGACAGTCAATTACTTTTGAGACGAAAATGAAGATAATAATGCAGTATGAAAATGGAACACTGCAGCAACCAATTCACGCGACCTGGGCTTCTCGCACTCGACCATATCTACTATTTTGAAGGACAAGGAACGTATTCATGAGGTAGTGAAAGGATCAGCACCTATAAAGGGAACTATAATAACGAAGAAAAGACAAGGTCCCATTCATGAGATGGACAAATTACTTGTGATATGGATGGAAGACCAGATACAAAAGCGTGTACCCTTACCGTATATCTCGGCCTACAAGGCGTCGGGGTGCATAAGACGGCCCCCCCAAATTTCCATTTAAGAAGTAGCTTTTGAGCTCTATTTGCTGTATAAGACCAGTACCCCAAATGTGACACTTACCCACTGACTCAGCAGTCCTTTACCAACCATCCTTGGTTTTTTAAAATAAGGCCAATTCACTTCAAGTAATGTCATCAAATGTTACCGGCTGGTGTAGAGTAAAAACTAGTGACGTCACTGAAGTGTCTTCTATTTACCGGTAACTGGAACTAATGTCGGTGTCGAGTAAAATTTTTCCATTTACTTGAAATATATATATACAATTTTACCCCGCCTAACGCGGTTTCACTTAACGCGGATTTTTTCCACATATACGCGGTGAGTGTCCGAGACGCTATTTTTAGATTTGCCCCACCCGCCACCCTGCCTGACTGCCTGTTTTAGCTCATAAAATTCATACAAATTACCAGGCCAGAATATAATTTACATTGCTGGAATTCTTATAATTTGGTGATCATTTTGAATATAAACATCATATATTTTCCTTTAAACTTACAATTTTTAGATAAAAATTTTTCTCTAGGTAACTATGGTATCTTTTGTGCAAAATATATGACATTTATATTCAAAATATTCCTGGTCTTACAAGGAATCCAGCAATGTCAATTATATTATCCTAACTTTAGTTTGAGGTATTATTTATTAAAATTTAGTGGTTATCCCACACATCTCCTTGGGACGGTTGGTGGGGGGTGGGGGGGAGGAGGGACCGACCGACCATCTGTTACCCTGTGAAGAATTATTATTTTTTTTATTAACTGAAGATATTTGTTTTAGCTCATAAAATTCATACAAATTACCCGGTCAGAATATAATTTACATTGCTGGAATTCTTATAATTTGGTGATCATTTTGAATATAAACATCATAGATTTTGCTTTAAACTTACAATTTTTAGATAAAAATTTTTCTCTAGGTAACTATGGTATCTTTTGTGCAAAATATATGACATTTATATTCAAAATATTCCTGGTCTTACAAGGAATCCAGCAATGTCAATTATATTATCCTAACTTTAATCTGAGGTATTATTTAATACTAAATGTTAAAAACTCTGGAAGGGAGGATTGGTGGGGGGTGGGGGGGAGGGTTGGGACTGACCGCGCGGTTGGAAGAGGGGGGGAGGCAAGGTGGGGTACTTTGATTGACAGATAGTGTCGTGAAGATTATTTTTTTTTTATTAACTGAAGATATTTGTTTTAGCTCATAAAATTCATACAAATTACCCGGTCAGAATATAATTTACATTGCTGGAATTCTTATAATTTGGTGATCATTTTGAATATAAACATCATATATTTTGCTTTAAACTTACAATTTTTAGATAAAAATTTTTCTCTAGGTAACTATGTTATCTTTTGTGCAAAATATATGACATTTATATTCAAAATATTCCTGGTCTTACAAGGAATCCAGCAATGTCAATTATATTTTCCTAACTTTAGTTTGAGGTTATCCCACACATCTCCTTGGGACGGTTGGTGGGGGGTGGGGGGGGGAGGGAGGGACAGACCGACCATCTGTTAGCCGGCTGTGTAGTGTGAGAGGGGGAGGGAGTTGAGTCCATTATTTGAATGTACATTAACTTGGCGACTGTATTTCTCTATTTCTCTTAAGTATTAATTGTGTGCATGTACCATCATAAAATTAAGATGTTATTTTTACTACAACATAGGTATGTGCCTTCAAAAAGTGGAGTTTGGGGGTCGGGCCGGTTTCTATTGGAATTAATCCCATATGTTCTGTTGTTCACTTAACGCGGATTTCACTTAACAGGACCCTCTGGGTTCAATTGACCGCGTTAAGTGGGGTATAACTGTATATATATATATATATATATATATATATATATATATATATATATATATATATATATATATATATATATATATATATATATATATATATATATATATATATATATATATATATATATATATATATATATATATATATATATATATATATATATATATATATATATATATATATATATATATATATATATATATATATATATACAGTATTACCCCGCCTAACGCGGTTTCACTTAACGCGTTTTATCATATACGCGGTGCCTCGCCAGAGCTGAACTTTCACTCAACACGGATTTTTTCCACATATACGCGGTGAGTGTCCGGCTCGAGACGCTATTTTTAGATTTGCCCCACCCTGCCTGACTGCCTGTTTTAGCTCATAAAATTCATACAAATTACCCGGCCGGAATATAATTTACATTGCTGGAATTCTTATAATTTGGTGATCATTTTGAATATAAACATCATATTTTTGCATTAGACATACAAATTTTAGATAAAATTTTTTCTCAAATTAACTATGTTATCTTTTGTGCAAAATATATGACATTTATATTCAAAATATTCCTGGTCTTACAAGGAATCCAGCAATGTCAATTATATTATCCTAACTTTAGTTTGAGGTATTATTTATTAAAATTTAGTGGTTATCCCACACATCTCCTTGGGACGGTTGGTGGGGGGTGGGGGGGAGGGAGGGACCGACCGACCATCTGTTACCCTGTGAAGAATTATTTTTTTTTTATTAACTGAAGATATTTGTTTTAGCTCATAAAATTCATACAAATTATCCAGTCTGAATATAATTTACATTGCTGGAATTCTTATAATTTGATGATCATTTTGAATATAAACATCATATTTTTGCATTAGACATACAAATTTTAGATAAAAATTTTTCTCTAGGTAACTATGTTATCTTTTGTGCAAAATATATGACATTTATATTCAAAATATTCCTGGTCTTACAAGGAATCCAGCAATGTCAATTATATTATTCTAACTTTAATCTGAGGTATTATTTAATACTAAATGTTAAAAACCCTGGAAGGGAGGATTGGTGGGTGGTGGGGGGGGAGGGTTGGGACTGACCGCGCGGTTGGAAGAGGGGGGGAGGCAAGGTGGGGTACTTTGATTGACAGATAGTGTTGTGAAGATTATTTTTTTTTTTATTAACTGAAGATATTTGTTTTAGCTCATAAAATTCATACAAATTACCCGGTCAGAATATAATTTACATTGCTGGAATTCTTATAATTTGGTGATCATTTTGAATATAAACATCATATATTTTTCATTAAACATACAAATTTTAGATAAAAATTTTTCTCTAGGTAACTATGTTATCTTTTGTGCAAAATATATGACATTTATATTCAAAATATTCCTGGTCTTACAAGGAATCCAGCAATGTCAATTGTATTATCCTAACTTTAGTTTGAGGTATTATTTATTAAAATTTAGTGGTTTTCCCCAAAAAATTTCTCTGAGAGGGAAGAGCCAGCGAGTGTAGTGTGAGAGAGGGAGGGAGTTGAGTCCATTATTTGAATGGACATTAACTTGGCGACTGTATTTCTCTTAAGTATTAATTGTGTGCATGTACCATCATAAAATTAAGATGTTATTTTTACTACAACATAGGTATGTGCCTTCAAAAAGTGGAGTTTGGGGGTCGGGCCGGTTTCTATTGGAATTAATCCCATATGTTCTGTTGTTCACTTAACGCGGATTTCACTTAACGCGGGACCCTCTGGGTTCAATTGACCGCATTAAGTGGGGTACAACTGTATATATATATATATATATATATATATATATATATATATATATATATATATATATATATATATATATATATATATATATATACAAACACAGTATTACCCCGCCTAACGCGGTTTCACTTAACGCGTTTTATCATATACGCGGTGCCTCGCCAGAGCTGAACTTTCACTTAACACGGATTTTTTCCACATATACGCGGTGAGTGTCCGGCTCGAGACGCTATTTTTAG